TTGGGGGCGGGCCGGGTTCCAGCTGCCCCTTTTGGAAAGTTTAAAAAAAAGCAAAGAAAAGAAAGAAAAGAAAAGATTTTTGGGCGTTCAACTAACATTTCTCTGGGCGTTCCCCCAGGGTAATTCCTCCCCAGGACCCCCTACCCTAGAATGATGATATCTCGATCACCTTCTGGCCTTTTTTCGGACGTCTCTGGATCCGCTTTGTAACAGATTGCAAACTAAACTCGGGCCTTCTTTTCAAAATGAATGCTGTAAAATATTTGGAATTACTACTAAACCGCATGGTTCGAAAATACATTTTTTTTTTCACTTATAATATTCATCAAAATTATAACATAGGCTTATAAATGATTAAAAAAAATCAAGCTTATCACCATAAAATAACAAATAAATGTATAATTAAAAGTCTGTACATTTGTAATCATATAGCCTATTAACTATATTATTAATGTAGGCCTACACATCCTCTAAAGAATCCGGAGAAGGGAACAATGAAATTGTCTGTTGTGCAATTTCACTGTTCCCTGGTTTAATTTACTGACAGTAGACCCCTATATAAAATATCAACCAAGTTCTTAAACATTTTAATGAATGTTTCTTTGACGTTTTTTTACAAATTAATTCTGGGAATTATATTTTATATCATATATTTTATGTTTTGTGTTAACTTATGCTGTTTCTTAGGGATGGATTAATAACAAGCTTGTGAGTTATAGTAATTTTTTAATCTTTTAATCCTTGCCTCCTTTGATTTACACAGTTTTCTGTTATGTCAGTTTTTGTTATTTTTTTGTTTTATTTTACTGTATGTACCATATATTGTGATTTTTATAAAAGGCGAAATAAAAAATGTGAATGAAGTCAATTTATACTAACTAATCGGCTATTTTTTGAAACGTTGATATTTCTGATTTTAAAGTGAGCGCCCTCTCTATCAACTTAACTTTTCCAAGCTTTTTTGTAAACACAATAGAGACGTTGTGTATGCCACGGAAGTGAGACAATTAGTTTCTAGGCTAGAGAATTAAGAAGCGTAAATTGTTTTAGATATATTTGTGAGCCAAGTATCAGGAGCTTTTGAAATATTAACGTGACTGAGGTATGGGATCTAATAAAGTTGGCCCTTCCGAGGCTGACGCGAGTACCAGTAACAGTAGCAAGTTTGGTAGGTTAAAATTTTCTCCCATAGTATTTAGGTACGGTAGGCCATGCCTAGTATTAATTAGTAACTAGGCCTAGGCCTCCTAGGTTAATTTCCCCTGTGCTGTCGGCAGACAATAGGCCTATTCGGTGATCGGTCCCTAAGGCTAGGCCTAGGCGAGACTTTTTTTATACCCTGATTCCTTCGCGAACCCATCGCCATCCAATACTGATGATTTTGAATATAAAAAATAAAATTTTACTTTTGAACAATTAGCGCTCTCGCCACCACGAAAAACTGGAAATTTCATCAGAAAAAAAATATAAAAAAGTTTTTAAAATTTGTATTATTACTCAATTGTCACTGCCTTGAAATCTCAAAAAAAAAAATAATATTTCAAAAAAAAAAAAAAAAAAAAAAAATAGATATGTATATTTCTTCCTAATTTACAGTACAGGTCTCCCTCAAATTAAAGACCACTTTTGGGACCGGGGTTTTCATGGTATTTAGGATAATAAAGATAAAAGACATTATGTAAATTTGGGACAACAGAAAGGTGGCCTTTAAATTAATTGGAGGGGGTCTTTCATATATAAATTTTGTATAAAAATTTAAACCATCCCAGTACTAGCCTATGTTTACAATCAACAATATTAACATTAACATTTTATATATATTTACTCCTCTGTCTGGATTTTTTGGCAAATTTGCTAAATAAGATTTAAAAAGTTTTTTTTTTCCGCCCGCCTCTCACTGATGTTCTTTGAAAAATTAAGTTTGTGAAACAAGCAATAAAAAAGTTTCTCTTTAGGTGTCGGACCTAGGCCTAATGATTGGTCAGGAAGATCAGTTAAATTTTTAGGACGATTGGTACTAGGCTATGTAGTGCAGTACAGGACATGATCGTCTTTCAAACGATTCTAAAGCTAGACTGACAGACTGTAGGCCTAGGTGTACATCCTTAACCTTACTTTACATCTTGATATTACACAGTGTAATAGGCCTAGGCCCCTGTGTATTTTTTGTAGGATTCTGTAATTTTATCGTACAGTATATAAACAGTACTATTTAAATGTTCTATGTTTGAATAGTAAATACAATCAATAATTTTGTGATACTACTCATCAGAAGTCATGAAACATATCTTAGCCTTTTATGTGAATAAAAATTTTGAGCCGCCTTTTTTGGCTTTTTAGAAATAATGATGTAGTGTCTTCCTAAAAATCGTGGAAAACCTCTAACAATTTTAAAATGATGAATAGCATTTACTTAATTAAAAGGAAAAGAATCAAGTATAACATTTTACTACAGAAAGCCTTTGATTGATTACCAGCCTAAAGAGTCCATGCAATACAACATTTTTTAACTGGCCGTTAATGAACAAAATCATAAATTTTTTTCTCATGGCAGGCAGTGCAAATATTTGCAAATAGAGAAGGGTGATAATGTATTTTTGCAAATGATTTGTAATAAAACAATGATATGCCAAGATTGGTTTTTTAAAGATTTTGTTTGCTGTTTGATAATGATAACAGGTGATAGACGAAAGATAACAAACCAACAAAGTTTCTCAATTAATTTTTTATTGCTACATAAAAAGTCATCTATTATACTCCTGAAACAGTACAATACAAAGGGAACAAGACTATCATCATAATTATGGAGATATACAATAGTGTTGAATTATAAAGATGTCAATCCCTGAGTCAGCATTGACTCTACGAATAACATGCAGTACTACTGTACTACTACACAGTGTTCGAAATAAGGCTTGTCCGCTTGTCCCAGCCAACCAAAATGTCCCACGGACAACCAGAACTATAGGACAACTTGTCCGTGGGACAACCAAAAACTTTGGACCCAAACCTCACCTCAAGTAATCGTTTTTTGCCTCCCGAACTTTACTGCATTGTTGTCACGGGCGCGGTCATTTTGGATTCGCCGAATCACAAGTTTTCTCGCGTTTTGGTCTGAGACTTGAACTGAGACGCCCTCTCGCGTGTTACTTATACTGTGGCGGGCCCATAGAGATATAATAAGAATACCAGAGCACTAACCGCAATGTATTCGATGTTGGAAATACGCAGAACTGTCTGTGTGTACCATCCAAGATGGCTGCTATAGATTTAGCCAATCAAATTTCGCTAAGCACCATCGTTTGAAATTGCGCCCTCAATTTACTCAGAAAGTTCAGTACAGCTAGTTATCCGTATGTTTGAAACTCGAGTGTTGCGGTGTTTGGGTGTAATGTACACGATTTTAATTTTCATTCCTTGGTACTTTATTTTTAAATAAGATGCTCCACTTGGCCTTGTTTTGGCTACAATAGTTTAATAATTTGTTATTACTATTACTCATTATCATTAATGATATAATAGTCAGTCAGAGGGCTTATTAATTATTATGTAATAATATGTCATACTAAGCCTGAAGGTGACGTTGTATTACTACGGCCATCTTGGATGGTACACATACATAACTCTGCATTGCTGTGCCATCATTGCAAGGTAAAAATGAAGCAAGCAACAGATAATTATACGGACAAGTAAAAACATTTGCGGATAACCAAAGTTTCCATCTAGGTTGTCCGCCGGACAACTTTAAGTTTTTCCTTATTTCGAACACTGAACAGTACTATGCCTAACAACTAAAAAACAGCTACAGGTCTCCCACTAATTAAAGGCCATCTCCAATTAAAGACCACTTTTCTGTGATCCGAAATTTACACGTCTTATTCTAATTAGAGACCGATGCTGCTAAAGGCCAAGGAAACCTCGATCCCAAACATGGTCTTTAATTGGAGGGAGACCTGTACGTGAACAAACACCTATAGAAGAATGGCCCTCACAAACCTTTGCTATGAAAACTTATATACTTTTACCACAGCATAATAAACACTTTCTTATAATAGAAACACTTATTTTTTTAATCTATTTTTATTCTTTTTTACATTTTTTGTGGTGTCTATAGTGATAATAAACAGTGACAATAAAATTGATTAAAAATTCAATCTCAAATGAATTCCCTACCATGCTTTGCCCATTGTTGCTATCTATGCCTATGAATGACGGACTAGGCTTATAGAACAGAACAAAATTTTAAATTTTGAAAAGTTTGTTTTTAAATGTTTTATATTTGAAAGTCATTCACATTTTATAATGTTATCATTATTTATATTAAATTTGCATTGGTCTCCAGCCATGTAAACTATTTTAATATAACAAACCTACAGTAGGCTCTACTGAGCCCAGGACCAGGCTAGTCAGATGTCTATAGTCAAGAAGTGACTATTATATAATTATATATTTGTACAGTTAACAGAGCTGTAAAAAGTTTTTTTTTCTTGCTGGACCAAGGTCTAGTTTTGCTAAAGTAATTGCTAGCCCTTATATATCAGCTATTGAATATTGGTCTAGTTTTAATGTATTTTTGCTAGCCCAGCCCTAAAATACTCAAGTCCCGGACCTAGGACCACCACATTTTTATAGCCCTGGTTAAACTTGCCTAAGTTGACTTTGCCTAACTCGAATAATTTCTAAGTCAATATTATCTTAGATGCCAAATTGTTGTGTTTTCACTTAATTAACCATCTGTAAGTCATATTTTATCCAAGTTAAACAATTTTTCAATGCCATTTTGGATTTTACTTAGGCAAGTTCAACTGCAATATGCAATTCTAAAATAAGAGTTGAATTGAGTTGAATAAAAGCCTAATATACAGTATATTACTGTATAATCTTATTTGAATAATTTTTTATCATTGTTTTTATAGGAACTCCTACCAAATATGATCCTAATTTTAAGGGACCAATTCAAAACAGGTGAGATATGCAATGATACTACGGTCTACTGTATTCCCAAAATATATGACAATTTAGGGGTTTCAAAGGCTTATTTAATTTGTTTTAGAGTCTACTATATGTAGAAAATACATATTTTTTTTTCTGCCTGACGAATTGTGGTTTTCTCCATGTGCATTATGACTCATGTGCACATTAAAGGACATACTGTAGTACACTCTCTCCTAAAGAGTAGGAAGGGGATTGTCTCCCGGTGTACTGCCCATTCACCACCAGAAGCACCTCACTGGATATAAGTCTTCTTCAGACTTTTGTGGGTTATTGGAGTTTACACCAAATGAATCAATCCATCCATCATTAGAAAAATATCAAGTTGGTATCAACACAAGGATTATTTCTTACCATGAAATTTTCGGCTGTTTACTACAGAACTTGGATTTTATTTGAATACCAAATACAATGCAGATATTATTCTAACATAGTTTTCATGTTATGGTACTGGTAATTATTTTAATTTTTAAGGAGGTCATACTGAATGCATTCAGCACAATTTTATTTCTTTAAAATATTTACTTTTTTCCACAGGAGCTGTACAGATGTTATTTGTTGCATTATTTTTATAGCATTTATTGTTGGCATGTTTATTACTGGTTACATAGGTAAGTACTTTTATGGATTTAAAAAAAATCAATTTGGTCAAAATTTGGTATGTGCATTCGAGTAGTCCTGTATGTGATTTAATTTAATTGCAGTTTATTTGGAGTAGTTATTGAAAAATGGACAGATTCAATTCCAAGTTCAGGTAAACCATAGCCTTTGCAGTTTACATCAAGGCCTCAAGATTGATTTTAGGGTATTGTTGTGTGATTATCAAATAGTATATGTCACACCTTTACAGTCAGTCTTATTAGGCCTATTGTTGCAAAGAAAGGTCTATGTAGGTATTGTCTTTAATGTTTCAATGCTGCATGGAGAAGAAGAGAATTGACATCAAGTCTTTGTAACTGAAGGTGAATTGGCCGAATTTTTCTGGGTGAAACTTTTATGAGGAGAATGGGAGACTCAAAGATAAGCAACGTATCATGTATCGGTTGATGACATAAATTTATGATTCATACAGACCAGTGGTGGCACCAGGGGTGGGGATGGGAGGCCAGGGCACAATTCGTCAGGGAGAGAAAAAAAATTATATGTATTTTCTACATATCAGTAGACTCTAAAATCGATTAAATAAGTCTTTTGGGGTTCCCCTGACCACTTTCGTAACCTTTTAATCGAAGCCCGACCACGCCCACTTTCCTTTCGTCAGGGAAATCTGACCACTCGTCGGGGGCATTGGTCCACCTCGCTCCCCCCCCCCCATGCTGCATGCTGAGCACAAACTTGTACTTTATTTACGGTACTGTGTAATGTAGTACTGAATGTAGTGCTTCCTTGTTTACAAACCATATCATATATCAAACTCATATCAGATGCAGAAACATTTAACAATAGGAGAAGATAAATAGAAAGTACTGAAATTTAGTAGATTACAGTGCTTACAGTGAAGTGTGTCAATATTGACATTGCCACTTGCCAAATATAATCAGTTGTTTATCACCTATTGTTTAGTGTTTGTTCATTTCACATTATTCTGTAGGTCTCTTATACACATCTAGATAAAAAAAAAAAAAAAAAACGATGTGAAAACTGAATATGGATTATTGTATCATATTTTGCAATCGATTCATCATCGTCATATCATTATTTGAAAGTCATCATTCATACCATCAACCAATTTGATGCCGACTCCTCAATTGTACAAGTAACGAGGGAGCACTCTAAGACTATAAGTGCTGGTGCAAATCCAAATTACTGTGACTAACGCGCAGATGGGGTGATAGGGTAGGCAGGGTTGTAAGAAGAGTGCATAATTTGCGGTTGTTCTGTCGCTGGAAGACCAATTTTAGCATGGGTCGTGGGGGTGCTAATCTGGGGTTCCTCCTTCAGAAAGTTTTAGATTTTTAATGTGCTTGGAAATGCATTCTGAGTATTTGAAAATAGTGGGGGCCCAGGGAGGGACTTTCATAGATGGAAGGTGCATAAAAACAGTGTATGAAATGACACTCTCAGACATAAAATTTGAATATAGTTTTCTTTTTATCATAATTTTTTTAGTGTTGAAAAATATAGGTGGTAGGAACATCTGGGCCCCTTGAATTCCCCACTGGCTTTTCTCTACTTTACTAGGGAAAATTGATATTGATGATGATGATGATGATGATGAGGAGAAACCTGGAGGAAAATGTAGTGATGGGCGGTGGCATGGCCTAAGTTGTGAGATTAATGCGAGCAAAGCAAGCTCATAAATCTGGGTCCATTCCCTCTGTTAAGGTGACCTGAAAGTAGTTCTGATGTACTGGAAGACTAATTTGAATGATTTTTACTAAAAATAAGTAAGATAAAAAACGACAATAACGAATAAAATGTAGTAAAAATAGACGATAAAGTACATTGCAATGAAGTGTAAAAGTTCAATTCAAAAAGATTTAAACACATTAAAAAGTTTGACAAGTTTAACATTTTTAAGATTTAGATACTGTAAATGATAAAATTTGAAAAGTTTTTTTTAAAAACATAGAAGTGTTTGACAAGTTTAATATTTTTAAGATTTAGATACTGTAAATGATAAATTTTGAAAAGTTTTTTAAGATTTAAATATTAATGATAAAATGTTACCATTAATAGAATAATAATTAATGTATTGGTAATATTTTAAATAATTGTTTTTTTTGCTTTTGCGATATAAAATTACATGTGTCTTTCATTAAGTTTATAAGAATCAATGCACCTCTCTGTGATAGATTTTTGATTAACCGTACATTATGAAAAATAAAAATACAAAACTCAACAATGTACGTTTTACAGTACATCGTGCTGCCAACTGTTATTTGAAAGTTAGTATTTAGACACTGCAAAAAAGTATTTATTTTATCTATATTTTTGTCTTTGGCTGAGGCAGGTGGCAGTTTTGAAAGAAGGGGAGAGTTTAAAATCGCTAGACAACCAGGTGGTTTAATCGCTACAGTATATATTTTTCAAATACTTTATTTCACACTCCGAACTTCGCCATGGCGAACATCCGCGTCTGCTAATGTTTATTGTTCGGACAGCTATACCAAAACGTTTATTTATCATTGTATTTTTTTCATTGATTATTATCATCATCTCTCTTATAAGGGCAGGTATTAAGTCATATTTAGATTTAATATTTGAAAAACATTTATAACATTTTTTTTTTACTGGTATTGGTATGGGCATTTACAGTATAATGCGCCTCTTACTTGAGGTTATAAAGCATAGTTCTGTTCCCTGGTCATTAAGTCCACAAGCTTTTTTAAGTGTTGCTGCGTGCATCAGCGCAGGAGCAGGCAACCCTACCAAGTACCCATTTATACTCCTGGGTGGAGAGAAGCAATTCAGATAAAGTGCCTTGATCAAGGACACAAGTGAAATGCACAGCGAGGGATTGAAACCCTGACCTTGAGGTTGGGAAACCAAACCGTTCCCACTGTGCCAAACCGCCTCGTACATCTATGATCGTCTTTTATAATTTCCTGAATATTAGTTCAGAAATTACCGAGTAGAATTGCTTATCCAGGGATAACTTTAGTACCGGTATTATTTTATTTTGTAGGATGGACCAATGGTGACCCACGTAAACTTGTGTACCCAACAGACTCCAAGGGTCAAATATGCGGACACACAGAGGATGTCAAGTAAGTGGTCCTATTTAGGTTCATACATTTTTTTGTATAATGAATTTTGTGAGGGAGAGGGTGGGGATAAGTTTTTATTTACACAATAATTTGTGAGGTTCTCCAGACGTCGAGCTAAGTTTATCATTATGCCTACATATGGATGTGATATGGTGTCATTTTGCCTGTATATTATGGGCAAATCTTAAATATTTGTCAGAAAATTGACAAGTGCGAATAACAGGTGAAATACTTGTTTTGTTGAGAATAATTTGATATATTGAATGTGATTTTTACTAGGAACAAGCCGTACCTTTTCTTCTTTGACATGTTGAAGTGTGCCAGTGCAAGTACCTCTTTCCAGTTCCAATGCCCAACTACTCAGGTAAGGCAATGATTATCAATTCTGAAATTCCATTTTTGAAGATAATAAGGATACGATTTTCATAACTTTCAAACAAAAATTTAATGGACGCTCTAAATGCCATTTACATTTATAGATTTAGTTGATGTAAATATATCTTAAATGATTTATAATTTAATTTGGTTTATGTATCTTTCTATTTCAAAACAACTTTATAAAATTCTGAGTATTATTAAAATAAATTAAAATTCATCAACACTGATTCATGTCTGCTTCAAAGAAAACATTGCTAATGGCTGAGCAGGAAAGAGCTTTCTGAACTCAACCTCACACGGAGGGTTTATTGTATTTATTCTACCTCTATTCCCCGATCAATACTTAGCTTAAGCTCAACACAATAGAGACTACGTCACAAAGTGGTTCAAGTGTATGGTAACTAGGCACTGGTAAACAACACAACACAACAGAAGCCATCCCTTTATACACCTTCCCCTGTCATGTACCTAATACCAGTGTAATGAATTACTGACAATACAGTATCTTGATTATGGTTTTTTTTTTAAATTTCTTATGTTTGTATTGTGTTTATGTATAGTACTCAGAATGTTTATGTGCAGATTCTGTGTGTGGTTGCTATGGTATTTAATATACTGTTTCTATAATCACCAAGGTTACTCTCATAATAAGGAATACTTAATGAGATTTTCAGTGCAGTTTATTTAAATGAACACTACAGTAGCTATAGGTAGATCCTTTCAAGATGGAATTTAATAAATTTATTTTCTCAGATATAATTCAGTTTGATAATTAATAATATGTAACTGAATACTTAATTTTGTATTGTTATTGCCATACCTTTTTCAGTTAATTAAAAACTTATTTTTATATTTTCTGTTTATTATTAGGAATATATAGTGTTTGTGTTGATTATTTAATATTGAAAACTATAATTAGTAAAATATTTATTAATTTAATAATATCATTACTATTAATATTATTGTATATTTATCATGCTGTTATTGTATATAACAATTTAAATATCTTTTCAAACCAAAAAAGTACATATCAGAAATATTATCTAATATTGTTTTTTTTTTATATCCTAATCCTTCCTATATTAATATAATACAGTTATTTGATCCATATTATATAATGATCAATGAAAATGTTGTTACATTACCTCTATATTTTATATCAACATTTATTAATTATTATTGTAGGTTTTTAAATTTAATATTTTCATTAAAAGAAATAGGAAAAAAATTGTCAACAAAATTATTTTGTTAAATTGTGCTGATAAGATTATGTAAAGATCAATTGTAATAATTGATTGTTATTACAAAAATAATTCCAAAAATAGAATGATCATAATAGGAATAATTTGATTATTGATAACAATACCACCAACAACAATATCAATATTTCTTCGTTTTGCATATGACAGGCAACATCAAACTAATAAAATAACTATTTTTTTAAACACATCCTTAACACCTCAGAAGTTATTTTTCCGTAATATTGTTTATATAATTGTTTTGTTTATGTTTATCTTGTGTATGAATTTTATTACATGCAGTAGTACTAAGTTATATTATATGTTTGTCTTTTAGAATATTATATATGTAACAGATCTAAAACAAGTTCAGCTTTCATCATAATTTGCCTTTTATGTAGATTTGTGTTGAGTCGTGTCCGAATGTGACATTTTCACCATACACGCAACTCTTGAATGGAGCCCTAAGTGCCGATGGTAGTAATGTAGAATGGGATAAGTTCATCTGCGAGTATGGTTTTAATCCGCAAACAGAATTTGTCACTGGATCCTATGTAAGTATATTAATTTATTAAAAATGGCCAGCCTACAGTAACCTATAGGGCTATCCAGAGGTTTTTTTTTTACTAGCACTCAATTTGGGTAAAATAAATAGATTAACCGGCTTCAGGAGGACACTGCTGTATTCATCACACCTATTTTATTTGTTTTGCATGATGGACATCGAAAAGGGCGCTAATGAGGCAGGAGCTCAAATTCACTTTTTTTTATAAAATTGTTTTTATTACAAAATCCATAATCACCCAATTATCTTTACATTGAGTCAATTCATCGAAATATTTTGTGAGGAAGTGTAAGAGATCCATGCAATTACAAGTTCATTATTTATCTGTATTTTGTTTGATGTTGTCATGGTGATGTCCATGAAGTAATTACTTACATAAATGGCATAATTTTCACAATCACTTGTTACATAATAGTGAAAGTTCTTCTCATTTATATCCACTGTATATATTTGTATAATTCAGTTCTTTTTCCTGTTCTCGTTAGACTGGCCTAAGTGGTTTATTTGACATGTTGGATGATGAAAAGTGCGCCCCCTACTATCTTGAGAGTTCAGCCTGTGAGTACACTGCACAGTATCAAAATGTAAAACAGTATTAAAATCAATATTTTGTAATTGTATGTATTTAAATACGAAATACGAAATACGAAGAACTTTATTGCAATCTCTCATTCAAAATTGAAGTTTAACAAAAGGGGAGAAAAACATTACAAAACAACTTCACAACCCCACTAAACACATAAATATTCTACAATAAAGGCATTACAATTAATTAGGCAACATTTAGTAAAAAATTCAAGTACAAAAATAAATAATTCGCTAAATAGTTAAAATTTAAAAGACATTCATTTACAATTAAGATAAAAAATTATTGCAACAGGAAATCTATAAGAAAATTCAGACCGACACCTAAACCAACCAAAAGACTGGCATGCGAAAAGTAAAAGGAAAAACTCATTTAAAAAGACCTCGCCAGAGAGGAGGGCCCGGGTGTACAGGGATGACCTACCAGTTATTGAACAAACCAGTATTTGTTATGAAATTCTTCAAACGCTCGGTTTTTATTCTAGGAAGAGAAAATTCACGTTGACATCTTAGGTTGTAATGCTTCTCCCTAGCTTTAGGCAAAAGATGATTTAACCTATGCGTTGAGATTTTGAGCTTCTGGAAATAGTCCCTGCACAACCGGGTGCGCCTCTCTGACAATAAAGGGATATTTAAAAAGGACCT